AATGAAGCCCATGTGTCACAAAATGCCTTTATTCATATGTGATTATATGGCCCCCACTTACTCTATTCTGATTTAGGATAAGTTCACTGCAGATATTAACCTGGAAATCATGGAATACGAAAAGGTGTATATTTTGGTAATCCCATTTTCCTTTTTGCAGCATCCTTGGAGGACAGACATGGGAGTCATTTTGTCTTACTACCATTATTATTCGAGGTTATCGCTTGCCATCACATTGACTTTCCAGCAGATGCTGCATATCCCAGTTAGGTGACTGTTTAAGTTTTATTCAGCAGGTTGCTTATTAATACAAAATAAAACTTCATAAACATAAAGGGCTTCCCTGTGGATGCAGAGCATTCCCCAGCCCTGCAGGGGAAGAACATCCTACTTCCTTGTGGGTAAGGAAGCTGCTCTGGGTTTTTACTAAGCATTGCTTACTTTCTCAGCAGACTGGATGATCCATGTGCCTGAGAAACAATTGAAGTAGCAAAGAAAGTTGGTAGTCCGTGGTGTAGTGAGATGAAAGCTTCACCAATTAAAAAAAAAATCCTTGAAGGGAAAGAGGCACTGAAGTCCTCCAATGCTAATTGTGTAAAAGGTGGAGATTAGCACATTTTCTAATTATGTTCACCTATTTCAATCCCATTTGTTTCCTGTGTTTTAAAGAATAAATTAATTTCACCATGACAAGTGAAAAGGCAGCATTAAAGAACTTCCTTGTTTGGGATGCAGGGGTTTGTGTGGAAGAAATGATTACTTTCTGATGGCCTAGGTTAGAGAGGAAAATTCCTGATCAGACATAAGGACTGGGCTGGGAACTGTATCTGAATTTGGAATACTTGAGTGCAGTAGGCAGCTCTCATAGTTTCATTGTTTACACAGTCTTCTTTAACAAGCGCTCATAGAAGTATGCCATGAAAAACTCAGTTTAATCCTTCCTTACTTTTATGGCTGTTTTGTAAAACACCCCTGGTTTCCGCCCCCCCCCCCCTTATTCATTTGGAAAATAATACAGCATTTGAGTCGTGGAAAGCAAAGTAATATTTATGTAATAAAAAGCAGTTTCTATTGGATTTTTTGTGGGAAAGAAAAACTTTCAAGAATTATTCATCTAGGCTCTGGTTTAAATTTCCTTTTTCAAAGCTATAGTTCGAAAAAACATCCAGCCAGTAGTCCATTAAAATCTCAGACACAGAGGTTTTATTCACACCTTATCATATATGTTACAAAGTCTGTTGCTATTGTTTTTCCTCTATTTTTTTGCTTCATACATGTTTTACCAAGCCCACTTCCATGACTCATTGCATTTAATAATCATGTTCACATTAAATGCTTTTCCAACTATTGCTTTTCTACCCTCTCTCCATATTCCTTCTGTCCATTTTTCTTATATTAAAAGGACTCCTACAAGAATTTAATTTTGAGTTAAATCTCTTCCCCCACCCCCTTAGGGTGTGAGGCTGAATTAAATAAATCCTACTAAAAGTAATAAACCACTACTAGCTGTGGCCTGGTGATATCAGTTGTCAGACTGTCAGAGTGAATGTGAGGACTGAATTCACTGTCACTGCTACTGGGGGAAAAGAATCCAAAAGACCAGGAAACCGTCAACATTAGAAAAGCTCTGTCTCAGACCTGAAAGGAGAGGAGCTGATATAGAAACAGTGGTCTTCCTAATAAAAATATTATTTGCACTGGCCTAATAGAAATTATTGCTGTCAGGGTCAGTATTTGAGTACATGTACAAAAAGCAAGTGTGGCAGCACTGATGAAAACACATACTGGACATTGCAAGGGAGATGATAACTTCCCCCCAGACAAAACTCCAAAATGAAGAGAGGGAAACCTGAAGAATTGCCTCTTCCAAGCTCTCTGGGATACTGCAAGCAAGCACTGTAACATGGCAGAATTTATGGGTGTGACTAATACAAGGTGACAGCTCAGTTCAGAACTCTCTGCCCGTCTTTAGTGAGACCATTTTAATGAATTGTTTGTTTACTCTTCAAAAGCTGAACTTAGCTTGTAGGGAATGCCTATTTTGTATTTGTCTGAGTCTGGTTTGTAAGAGCTAGATATTATAAGTGACTAACAAACCATAGCGCTGGTGCGTTGGTCTCTTATGGGAACGACAACAGCTCAGAAAATAACAGCCACCTCTTCACTACAGGCAGCAGATTCTTGCCTTCAGGATAGCCATAGCTATAGGAATTCCCAGGGGAATGAATACAGGAAAGGATCAAGAAAGATACTTTAACAGGGGTTATTTGAGCACATTGGTGGCTGGACTATTTTCAGCAATTACTATAGCAAATTGACACGATGCTGCCACCATTCCCTAAGAATACGTAACTGTGCAAAATGCTTATAGCAAGTAATGGTAGATGACTATAAAAAAAGAGAGATTTTAAGAGAACAACAGTAATAATGGTGATAGGTAGCTGCAATAAATTGCAAACAAATACATTTTTTCTTGTCTTTCACCACAAAGGAAAAAAAATATGTTTCCAAATAGGATAAGCACATTTCAATACTGGGATACTAGAAATCTAGGTGGATTCTTTCTTTCTTTCTTTTTCTTTTTTTTTTCCAGATTTTTTCCCAAGACAAGCTAGGTGCAAAATACAAATGAAGATGTGCTAAGCCCTTCCTATAAACCCATGGGATCATGAATCAAGGGTCCCAACTAAGACTAGGTGTTAAAAGAAGGGAAAGAAAAAAATTATAGGCTTTAAAAGCACATCTTTTTCTCAAAAGACTGAAAAGATGTTAGTCAGCTTGGCATCTGAATTTTTTGTGTGCTTTTGCACAGGCAAAGAGAAAGATGCATAGTTTAACTATAGAAAATAGCACTGCATGGGGTACAACTGAATGGCCCACGGCTTGCCAGGACGTACCCAGCAACACAAGGCTTTGCAGGCAACACCATCATTCTCTGATGCAGCCACAGCAATTTTCCAACAACTCTATCTGAGATCTGCCACTGTGCACTAAGATTTCCTCTTTACCCAGCTGCACCGTCATGTGTCTACACCTCCTGGATACAGAAAACCAGTCAGCATGAGCTTGCCCCATGAACTCCAGCTGTCCACACTGTTGGGGAGATGGCTGGGTTTGTCTCTCCTCTCTCACCACATGCGGGGTTTGTGATTTCATCCTTATAACCCATGTTGGCATTCCAGTGCAAACTAGGCTTCTGAATTTTTTTCCCCTTAAAATGCTGCAACTTCAATGTACATAATTACAAGAGAATGTAATATTCTGCTAAATTCTCAATAGCCCAAAAACTAATACTAATGAACACTGATCAAGTTCAGCTACTTGCATTAGGAAAGAGACAAATCATTTAAGTACCATCTAGGGCTCCAACCTTAATAAAAATGGATGTCAGGACACTGTGATGTTCATTTAATCATTGATAAGTACTCACATAACATTCATGGTGTTAGTATTGGTCAAGGTAACTGCAGATAAACATCTCTTACCTTACTGGATTGCTAAGATACAGCAATATGATAAGAGATGTTACAGAATTCATATTAAGTATTCTGCATGAGAGTTACACATTTTATTGTTCACAGTCCCTTATTATTAATTTTGTAAATATTTTCTAGTTAAAAAGACGATTAGCCTGCTAGCCAGCGACATGACTTTTTAAAAGGATGTCTTGAGAAGTGGGCTCCAATATTGGCATTTACTTCAACAGTGATAAAATTTAATCTTTTGTGCCCTGGCCTAAGCTTTTTCTCATTTTTCCTTCTTCTGAAAAACATTTTTTTCCATTGCTTTTATGCAGTCCCTTTTAAGGGATCTTCTTTGCAAGGCTTCCTCTGTTGAAATACACCAAATATACAAGTAGAGATTTATAGATTATGCACAGAAGACACTTTTTAAAGAAAATCTCTATATGCTCTTCGGCATGCACATCACAGGAGCATATGGACAGATAGTCACACTTTAGATTTTATCATACAGCATATGAAAAAGATTTTTTTTTTCCTTATTTTGGGGTTCTTTTTCATTTTTGTGTTTCTGAATAAAAATTTTGTGGAAAGTAGAATATTTATGATTAGGATATTTTCCCCTTATCCCTTGGATGGTGTTTTAAAGGAGTTTTACTAGCAACAGCTACATCTTCACCACATTCTAGCTCAAAAAAATGCACCTATACTTGGATTGCAACATTTTTCATATTTCACTAAGAAAGTTAATGGGAGTTTTATATACAATACCCAAATTTCACTCAGATATTGAAATTCTCTGTCAGCCAAAGATAACAGCAGAATTCATATTGAAGTAAATAAGTTTTAAATTTCTGTTACGCTGATTGCCTACTCTGAGAGGTATTCTAATATATTTTCATGAATACTTAAAATATAAGTGTAATTTGGAGCCCAGAAGTTCTTAAATAACAGAGAACTGGAAGAAAATTCTATTTAATTTTTTCCTTTGTTTGGCAATTTCACTAGTGCTTTCTCATAACAGAAGAGTGTACTGCATTTTGCAATTACAGCATACAGCATAGATACAGGGCAGCATTAGTTCTTTTTCCAGGCAGATATACAGTCCTACACTGTATGATTAACACTTTGTTAAATATTTTGTATTAAAAAGGCACAATGGATAGTCTATGGCTGCTGAACTTCAACATTACTATGTGGGTTATTTAAGTTCCACCCTATAATTGAAAAATAGCACCTTACTGCCACAACTGAATTAAGCACTCAAGCTCTCTGTCCAAGATTCCCTTCATTTCACAAAAGAATCCAACTTACATATGTTTCAACAAAGATCTAGAAAGAACTAAAACGGCATACAGCCAATACTACTAACACAGGAGCGCATATCTGGCTCCATTGGGATGTTTGCCAGTCCTCAGAACAGTTAAAGATAAAAACATTCCATACACATACTCATGACTGTCTTCAGCCACATCTTCCCAGGCCTACACAAGGCCATCCTCCAACCTGACCTTGTAAAACTAGTTCTTCAAGGGCTTGGCAAACATGCAGCACAACAAATTCTAACGGTTACTCTTGAAAACAAATGCCAGGTGTTCCAAGCTGCTCCCACACCTCACTGTTCTAGTAGCCTCTATGATTATATTTTTAATGCTTCAGGTAACCATTTAAAAATAAAATGTTCTGGGTTATCAATTCAATGGAGAAAATGACATGCTTATGAAAAGAACACTAGTAACTCAATCAGCAGATATCTACCAGGCATCTTTTTGGGGATCTTCAGAAATGTTTTAAACACAGCAGTTTTTCAAGCTGAACTTAAATTTGATCCCCTCAGAGCTTTTCTTATTCAATGCAAAACAGTTTTTTATAATTTAAAAATTCTGTATGACAGAGAAAAATTTATAGGTTTGTTCACATTCTATTCCATAACCTTCAGTGGTAGCAGCTTCTGCTGGACTTATGTACTGTTTTTCCATAGACTGAGATTTTTAAAACAGCCTGGATAAACACAATGTTATTTACTTGTGAAGGCACTTGCAGACTTCACCTTCTTTCACCAAGTTAAAATAAGCACGTGATAAAGGTATCACCTTTATCACCCACCATAACGCTAATCAGCAAGAAGGTACTAAAAAGCAAAATTAGCTTAATTAGCAGAATTTGTCCATCTTACCCAGTCCTAAGTTCCTGCCCAAAGGTGGTATTTGAAACATGTCTACAAATTGCTTTTTTCCCCAAGAAAGAGAGGAAGTGAATTTTTAAATTATTATTCCTTCTAGAGAACTATTGCCTATCGCATAACCAACATATTTGCTTCCACTGTCAACAGCACAGCAAGAAGGGAAAAAGGTGAAATAGGAGGTGGCTAGGGCTATATTATGCCTTCTGCACCAGAGCTGAATTTAATTTTGTGCCATAAAACTATCCTCCAATATCCTTCTTTTGTTCATATAGCAGTGGTAGGTACAGGTTTTGAAGAACAGTGATCTTGGAGAGGAAAAAGGGACTGATTCAGAGCAGGTGTAAGTTAGAGATGATTCAGTGATTCTTTAGGTAAAGAAGACCATAAATTCCCTGAACAGACCATTGTGCGAGCCTGAGATCACAGTACATTACTAAGTTTTGGAAGCGTTCCTGACTGTTAGAAGGTGATTAAGCTATGCAATCTTAATACTGAATATTTTTATATACCATTGAAATCTAGTTTTGCAGGACTAACCTGCAAAATTCCAACGTGGTAGGGGTGGTTTTAACAGAATAGATGTGATAGGAAATGTTTGTCTGTCACCTATGTACTTTTGGGTTAATTCACAGATTTCACAGGAATGATTCTGGGTTCAGTGTAACTGACAACTGAACATATCCTTAAATCCCTATGATGTTTAAAGTTGTGGTAGATAAATGCTCCAGGCAGATGATTAACAACATATTCATCAATCACCTGAATACTATTTTGTGAACTGTTGGCAAAAAATGGCAGAGCGTGCTCATACATTGTAAAGGGACCAGCTTTCTGATGTGAGTTATAGTGGTGAATAGACCAGTATCTCCAAAGTCAGGAAGGAAAATCAGAAATGTTGAATCAGAATCTGCCCTAGAACCTCTCTGCTGATACCTTTACTGGTGTGACAGTCAGATCTGGGTATTCACCATAGTTTTAAAACTTGCCTTCTGTAAGTATAAGCTATGATGAATGGTACCTTTAAAAACTGAACTCCAGCATAGAAAAAATTTATTCTGAATACACAGATATGAGAAAGAATTTAATAGAATATGAGCCAGTGACAATTTTTGAGAATATTATTCTCCCAAATTTGAGTCCAGACTTGTACAATTATTCTCTTTAAATGAAGAACTACTTTAATATATCACTTTGTTTTTAATAAATCTCTGGATAGACTTGTGAAGCTAATTCTTTTGCTTACATAAGTAAGGGTGCTGTTAAAATCACTGGCACAAATTCCCTCCTGGCTTGGATTAATGTAACTCTGCAAGATTCAGTTGGAATACACCGCCATAAACGTAGTTAGTAAGTGAAGAATCAGACCAAACAGAGTTGTGTTATTCTGAAATCTGTGTGATCCTTCTTTTTTGCATAAGCTACATTCCAAATCCAGGCTCCAATTTTGCAGAAGATCGATAGAGTTATGTCTGCTTTTGCCTGCTTCTTATCGGAGTCTTCTGTGTTCCAATGCATATGCTGGATTTATTGCCTGTGTCTTGTCACTGAGTAGACTGAAATACAACAGGAAGGAAATGTAGTCCATTTTGATTTTACATGCAAAAGCTTAATTAAATTAAAGTATTGGCACATTCAGTTCTCACACAGACCTGAATAAATGTGAAATAACTCCAGTGACTTTGGTGATGATTCCTTCAATGTACACCAGAAAGAAAACAGCTTCTATTGCCACAAGTTTTTGTGTTGTACAGTAGTCCTATAGCACCAGATATTATCTGAGAAACTATCTGATATGCTGTATACAAGTAGTCTGCTTTTGAGCAATCCATGTTGTATGGTATTGTATTGCACAAGATTTCTGCTGTATGTGTTTTCAGCACATTAAAATAAATTACCTATAAATTGAAGAAACACCATGCTAACAAGAGTCACTGTCAAAACAAAAAAAAAGAAAGGAAAAAAAAAAGAGGAGAATGAGAAGAAGAAAAGGCAAAATGAAAAAGATGTGCAAAGTTAAGAGAAAAAGGACCACAGCTATATAAGTGAGCCATACTTAAGTAAGAGGTTATAATATGTATCTTTCATTCTAAACAATGCCTTTTCCTGCACTTTTTTTAGATGAATGGGCTGGAAATATCACACCTAAGTCAATTAAGAGTAAGATGCCCCTTTACTTTGTTCAACCTGAATCAAAGCTCCTAAGCAAGTATAAATGTATTGTACAGTGAATACAGAGGTCAGTGAGGAAGGCATAAAGTCTTTTCATCAGAGAAAAATGATGATTTAAAGCTTAAGCTCTTTCAAAGGCTCTTGGGTAAAAAAATGACATTCTGCTAAAGGTAGAACAGAAGGAAAACCCAAACAGCCTCCCTCTCATTATTCTTCACAATTAAATAATCAGTGATACACAATCTTGACTGGCTACAGCATATTCTCTGTTTTGTTTTGGTTTTGGAAGAGCTAGTTAATCAGAGCTTTTTATTTTTCAAGTTCAAAAACCTATAGACTCTCATTGACTATATGAATCCATGATGAAATAAGACCAAAAATCTGATTTAAACTCATACTTAAAGATAGTATTGATTATTTAGGCTAATGCCAGGATATTCTATCTTCTATCTCAATTTCTTTGGTCTAAAACCATACAGGCCACTTCTTAATCTAACTTCAATACGCTGTGAGTGAAACTGTTTGGATTTTAGGGCAATGCAAGAAATAAAATTATCATTTTGAACCCTAATGTGCAAATGAGAGACTGTTTGGGGAAGGGAAGTGGTGCTTCCCAGTCTTCCTGTTTTACCTGGTTATTACTAGAGACCAGATGTTGGGTTAGATCACTACAGCTTTTCTTACACTCTGCTGTTGCACCAAAAACATTCACCTTTAATATCTCAGAGATGCTCCTGCATCTATATCACCTTCCAGAAGTGCTAGATGTTTACAGGTGGTGGAGATCTCCCATAAACTGGAGATACTTTTCCCTCCATGTTCTGGGTATGTGCTCCGCAAAAAAAAAGAAGTTAATAATGGAGAGGAAAGGCCATTCTTTGCTGCACCTTCTCCTGCTACTAGGAACACACTAATAATCTGCAGCCAGGATAGGTGGAGATGGGAAAAAGGAATAAATCCGACTGGGTGCTTTAGTCTTTTGCCTGTCCACTTATCTCTGCAGCAGCTGGTGGAAAGGAAGAGAGAGAGTTCAGGTATTTGGCCACTGCTGGCTTCTCTGACAGGTTTGTGTCAATTCAAATTCAAAACTGGCTTTTCCAAATAAATTTTTCATTCCAGCTTTCCTACCACAACCTCTGTTTTTATGAAATCATTCTCCTTGGAAAATACTGTATTTGAAATTTGGAAGATTTTATTTCAAATGGTGTTGTTTTCAAGATGACATTTCTTTCTTTGTTATCATGTCTGTTCTGGATGTAGGAATGGTCCTCCCTCCATAGCCCTGGACATTTGCAAACAGTCAGGCCTCTGGCTGTTATTTGATCAAGCATCTTCTTTTCCATTAAGGTCCTTCTAAAGCTGCTAAATGGAATAGTTCAGGTCCATTCTTTTTGTACGTTAGCTGTTGCAGTTCTCCAGGCCTCTGCCTCTAGACTGTTACTAGGACTCTTCTACCCACTTTTCAGAGACCCAATCTCTTTGGTGTGTGTGTAGTACAAGTGATAGTCTTATAGTTAAAACATAACACAAACATTAAATTATGAGGGAGATCATAATGGCAGTATGTCATTGAGATCAAACTGTGCATCTTCTTCACAATAAAACTGAATATTTTTACCACCCAGCTTTTTCATATTTAACATATTTAAATAGATTCCCTGCACTGGTTTCTCTTTAAAAATAAATTTTTTTATGTGTTAGGTACAAAACTTGCAAGAAAAGTGACTCTGAGAGATAATCTCTCCTTTCTGTCATTTTCCAGCTTCAAATCTGAAGGGAAAGAAATTTGCTCTTGCATGGCCTTATATTTTCTTTGAATTCAAATGGAAACTGCTGATTTCCAGAAAAGAATACTCAGCTCCTGTTTTGTAGAGAAGCGTTTTTTTTTTTAATCCACTTTACAGCTCTGGAAAAGGGCTATCAGAACCTGAAAGAACACTTACAAAAGTAATTCTTAAAAATCTGGCCATTTTATCTTAAGATAAAAAAACCACAGACACTTCAGTGCTTGAAACAAACTGAACTTTCCTCCAGTTACTACACAGCATACCACAAATGGAGATTATTTATTTAACGTAGTTGTAAATTAGCCTGAACACTGTATATTAGATGCACAGGTGCTGTCTATTAGCTTTAATGTAAAAAGCATGAGCCACCTACTCACACGTCATCAGTTGACTTTAATTTAGCCAACCTATTTACACCAGCAGGTTGGTCTGTACGTATGTTAGGTAGAAAAGTTTGTTTAAATGATCCCTGGTACTGCAAGTCCAAAATATCTTCCTGGAAACTTTTCAGATGTAATTTCATATGTGTATACAAATATATATGTGTGTGTTTGTGAACTGGTCTTTACAGAGGG